ACCGACTGAGCCTCCCAGGTGTGCCCCATCACCTGTGGGTTTTTTTTTTTTTTTTTAATATTTTTATTTATTTCTAGGAGAGACAGAGAAGACAGTGTGAGCAGGGGAGGGTCAGAGAGAGGGAGACACAGACTCTGAAACAGGCTCCAGGCTCTGAGCTGGCAGTCAGCACAGAGCCCGAGGCCGGGCTCGAACCCACGAACCGTGAGATCATGACCTAAGCGAAAAGTCGGACGCTTAACTGACTAAGCCACCCAGGCGCCCCTGTGGGTTTTTTTTTTTTAATGTGGCTGCTAGAAAATTAGAAGGGACAGCTGTCCCCCACACTTGTCTTTTTATTATTTTTGAGAGAGAGAGACAGAGTGCGAGCAGGGGAGGGGCAGAGAGAGGAAGACACAGAATCTGAAGCAGCTCCAGGCGCTGAGCTGTCAGCACAGAGCCTGGCAAGGGGTTCGAACTCATAAGCCGTGAGTTCATGACCTGAGCCAAAGTTGGACTCTTAACCCACTGAACGACCCAGGCGCCCCTAACAATTTTGATTAGAAATGTAGTTATTTGCATTCTGTGTATCTTGTTTTCCTATTTATAGACATTATTTTAAAACCCAACCATCTTTATATGCTTCAAAATAATATGGACAAGACTGGCAATGGTTTGATGGCTACCGGAATAGGTTAACTGGTACATGGGGGTTAAGTATACTGTGCGGATTCTGAGTACAGAGACAGTTATTGCTAACAGGAAAAACTCCACCTGTAATGGCCAAATGGCATAGCCCCATGAACTATTAAGCAAGTATAAAACATTTTACATTTAAATTCCAACTTATCTAAAATAATTATTTTTAGCTTCTGCGATTAAATGATTTTACTTTGTTTACTTTAAAGGTAACTTTTTTTTTTTAAATATCCCAACTTTTTATGATGTAAAACCCGGTTTTGTTACTGAGCTCCTTTCCATCATCTATTTGATTCATCTACTTAAGCCTAATGTTTTAAAACTTTCAACGGTCTTAAAATTAAATATTTTTGCTGCAAACTCATGGAACAACATTGTCAGGCAGATCTATCTTTAGGATCTGTAAGATCAACAGAAATTATCCATATTTTGGTTTCAGAATGCTTATTTATTTATTTTATTTTATTTTTTTAATTTTTTTAATGTTTTATTTATTTCTAGGAGAGAGACACAGAGAGAGACAGCGCAAGCAGGGGAGGGTCAGAGAGAGAGGGAGTCCAGACTGAAACAGGCTCCAGGCTCTGAGCTGGCAGTCAGCACAGAGCCCGACGCGGGGCTCAAACCCACGAACTGTGAGATCATGACCTAAGCGAAAGTCGGACGCTTAACCGACTAAGCCACCCAGGCGCCCCTCAGAATGCTTATTTAATGGGTAAAAAAACATCTAAATGTCTGACAAATTATATTCTAGAAATAATATGCTATTCAGTGCTTACAAATGGTATGCAAATATATTCATTAACATAGGGGCAAGTTCACAGTTCAAGAAAGATCACAGAATAGGATGTATAGTGACACCATTTAAATCTGAGAAAAATGCATTTTAAAATATTTGATTATAGGGGCACCTGGGTGGCTCAGTCAGTTCAGCATCGGACTTCAGCTTAGGTCATGATCTCCAGGTTTGTGGGATCAAGCCCCATGTCAGAATCTGTGCCAAGAGCTCAGAGCATGGACGATGCTTCGGATTCTGTGTCTCCCTCTTTCTGCCCCTCCCCCACGCATGCTCTGTCTGTAAAAAAAAAAAAAAAAACATTTAAAAAAAATTAGGGGCACTTGGGTGACTCAAGTCGGCTAAGAGGTGGACTTCAGTCATGATCTTGCGGCTTGTGGGTTCCAGCCCCACATCAGATTCTGTGCTGACAGCTCAGGGCCTGGAGGCTGCTTCAAATTCTCTCTCTCTGTGCACCCCCCCTCCAGCCCCCACTTCTGTTTGGTCTCTCCAAAACAAATAAACGTTAAGAGAACATTAAAAAAAAAAAAAATACAACAAATAAAATACTTGTCTAAGGGCACCCGGGTGGGTTGGCTGAGCATCCAACTTTGGCTCAGGTCCTGGTCTCACGGTTCTTGTGTTCAAGCCCCTGCATCTGGTGGCTAATAGAGTGGAGCCTGCCTTGGATTCTCCCTCCCTCTCTCTGCACCCCCCTGCTTGAATACTCTCTCAAAAATAAGTGAAACATAAAAAGTAAAATAGATGCCTAGTAAATGAATTTTGGGTGCTTTTGGCTTTTGTCTGCATTTGAGTTTCTCCCCCAGTATGAATCGCCCGTGTACTTCAATTACACACATACATACAGGTCCCCCTGTAGCAGCCCACTCCCCGTAATTTGTCCCTAGGCCCACATTTTCACTCTCCCCCCAAACCGTGCCACGACAGACCATCTTTCCTCTGGGGCCTCCACGATTGGCATGTCTTCATATGAGGCGCCGGGGTCTGAGACTTAGTCCTCTGAGTAACCCGCATTTGAAAGGCCAGCCTGAGCCCCTGACAAGCCCAGGGAATGACACGTGCTTACTGCTTCTGCACGTTAACAAACTGAAGCTTGTCTGATTTGTTTGCATTATTAAAAAATTATCCTCCACCCTTTCAGGATGTCTGAATTGATGTCCATTCAAGCATTCTTCTCATTCAGTTCTCATTGCTCACAATGAGTTGTTTAAAGGAAAAGATTAACTTTTTGTAGGGACAGATCCTAGAAAATATGCCTTGGGGGTCTGCCTCAGTTGGCTGAGGATCTAACTCTTGATTTCCGGGTCGTGAGTTTTAGCACCGCACTAGGCTACAGAGATTAGTTAAAAAATTAAAGAGGGGCACCTGGGTGGCTCTGTCGGTTAAGCGTCGACTTCGGCTCAGATCATGATCTTCTGGTTTGTGGGTTCGAGCCCCGCGTCGGGCTCTGTGCTGACAGCTCAGAGCCTGGAGCCTGTCTTCAGATTCTGTGTATCCCTCTCGGACATTGTCTCTCAGAAATAAATAAAACATTAAAATTTTTTTTTTTGTCTCTCACATTGTCTCTCAGAAATAAATAAAACATTAAAAAAATTTTTTTTTAATTAAAGAATATGCCTCAAAGTGGCTTGCTTTTTCATAAAATAAGGTGGGGGTTCATTTTTCCAGAGAAGGATGATGCTTAAGGCAAGTAGGATTAGAAGTACTTCCAATCCAACTTTTTACAGAGCAGATTAATCTCTTAGCTATCTTCCCATAAGTAAAAAACAAAACCAACCCTGTTGTACTACTGTTTAGAGAAACGAATACATCTCTTTAATTATTTGCAAGGAGTTCAGAACTGAGGGCATCTTTCTGTGACTGTAAACAATGATCAGTTCCTAGGGGTGGTGAGGGTTGAGTCGTACAAATGGACGTGGCAAGATGGGTTAGGGGGTCAAAACTCTTAATTTTCTTCACATTGGTGTTTAGAGACCCCACTTAAAAAAAATTTTTTTTTTTTAAAATGTTTTACTTATTTCTAGGAGAGAGAGAGAGACAGCATGAGCAGGGGAGGGTCAGAGAGAGAGGGAGTCACAGACTCTGAAACAGGCTCCAGGCTCTGAGCTGTCAGCACAGAGCCCGACGCGGGGCTCAAACCCACGAATCGCGAGATCATGACCCAAGCGAAAGCTGGACGCTTAACCGACTAAGCCACCCAGGCGCCCCAAAAAAATTTTTTTTAAATGTTTATTTTTGGGAGAGAAACTTAGCAGGGAAAAGGTAGAGAGGGAGACAGAATCTGAAGCCGGCTCCAGGCTCTGAGCTGTCAGCAGAGCCTGATGCAGGGATTGAACTCAAAAATGGGGAGATGGTGACCTGAGCTGAAGTCAGAGGTTTAAATGACTTCACTGATGGGAGCCACGCAGGCGCCCGGAGACCACTTTTAACTGCTACGAACAGACAGGTGCTAGAGAAATTCTGGTACAATAAAATTAGATCAAGTATCCCTACACAGGGAGAGAATGTTTCCAGTTCAGTGCTTAGATTTACATACCCTAACCTTGTGCTGTCCATACTTAGAACCCAGAGGCAAATGGGTCTTTTCTGGCTCCAGGCCCTCCAAGGAGTAATGACCACGGAGAACTGGGGACCATGGCTCCCGGGCCCTGCCCACTCGCCCTCCCGTGGGCGTCCCTTCATCCCAAGTCAACATCCTTCCACTGATACTGTTCACCGAAGGGGTCACACTTCACCACTACCTATGCGGTCTGCACAAAATGGCCACTCCTGTGGGACAGTCTTGGCAGAGGTGTGATCCCTTGGGACTCCTCTTTCTAGAGCATTCCTGCCCCCCACTATTCATTCCAGGGCAAAATAAAATGTCAAGTGTCAAGAGGTTTAGTCTTTTTCCAGATCTCCCCTTGTTCACTGGTAACCTTGGCTTGGTGCTTTCTCTGCTGTGTCCACACTTGCCAACTCAGTGCCGGGTCCAACACCACCTCTGAGCACCGTTTAGGTGGCCAAGCCCAAGTACGACGTACATGAAAGCAAGTCTCAAAATATGCCAACACTAACCGTACTAGATGCAGTTCTAGCTCATTTAGTACAAGCTTATTCATACAAAGACCAAATAATTAAGTATTTAGTTTGCTTCAGAGGACACTCGTCTGTTTGTTCATTATTAAACCACTTTAGGCCAAAGGATCTTCAAAGAACACTGTACATGTGGGGCGCCTGGGTGGCTTAGTCGGTTAAGCGTCTGACTTTCGCTTAGGTCATGATCTCGCGGTTCGTGGGTTCGAGCCCCGCGTTGGGCTCTGTGCGGACTGCCAGCTCAGAGCCTGGAGCCTGTTTCAGCCTGTGACTCCCTCTCTCTCTCCTAGAAATAAAACATTAAAAAAAAAAAACAACATTGTACATGTTCATGTATTACAAAAAATAAATATTCCACTTTCAAATTTTAAGAAAACTTTGGGAACAAATGTGGAAATTCTTGGGACTAAAACGTAAGTCAGAAGTTAATTTATATGCTTCAAGAAATTCTTTCATAACTGAATTTTTATTGGTTGTTCTGAGGATCGGCACAGACAATTCAGTTTGCACACAATTCTTACCAGACATACTAAAAATCTAAACAAATCATGTAGTTGCGGTTCTTTTCTAAGTTATTCCAGTGACTGTCCAGCTTAAAAATTGGAGTCAAATTTCCCTTAACAGCATATCAAGTACCGATATCTTCAAATGCTGATATGCTGTTACACTGTTAATTAACTCCCATTAACTCACAATTCAGTATCATATACACTACACACTCCAATGTTCAATCTCGCACAGCACATTCACAAGTTTACTAGGAAAGTGGACGAGGACGCCAAGATGTTACAGAGTGCACAAATTCTGACAGGGAGAGCCAGGATCAAGGAGTGGTTTTCTTTAGGAAACAATTCTACCAAAAACAACAAGGGAATAGAAGTATTTAAAATGTTCCAGACATATTAAATGCACGACTGACTCCAAATTGCCATTTAGTATGCTTGGTATTACAGGATATAAAAACTACCCCATCTATGGAATGTTAAGCTGACACCCAAGACGATCAAAGCCTCCCATATTCAATATCCCACTATTTTCTGGTTGTACCAAAAAATAAACAACCAGCAAATGATTTCACCTCTTAAAAAAAAGCATTTACACTTAAAAAATGGGATGAGGTGGGATTCCCTCCTTCTTAAAAATGTTTCTAGAGCTACTAAAAAACTTGCATTTACAAAATAGTTGATAAAAATATTCCTCTGGATTGTACAAGAAGGGACACAGGGACCACTGAGAAGACATGGGATGTGGTATTAATCAGACTTGGCTTCTTTCTCTCCTGCTTCCTCAGAGGCCAGACTCTGCAAACCAAAGAAAAAACAATGATCAAGTATTTGATTTGTGTCACCGTTAATGATCTCGGAGATCTTTAAAATTGCATACAACATTGTTTTACTTCTATATAATTATTAGATCTTGAAAATACACGTGACCCTCATTGTACATAGATTCTGTATTTGTAAATTTGCCTCTTCACTACAATTTATTTGTTAAGTGCAAAATCAATACTCACAGTGCTTCCATGAACTTAAAAATTTCTTTGCAGTGCCTTCCCAGCAGGAGTGATTGTTTCAGTTCTAAACAGGAGCCTTTTTTGCAGTTTGTTTTGCGCCATACATCTTACTTTTTTTGTGTGCTTCTTAATGTTGATCGGACAAATTTAATACTATCCACTATGGCTAAGTGCAAGAAGGCTGGGACATGCCTTATGGAGAAAATACGTACGCTGGGTAGCTTCACTCAGGCCGGAGTTCCAGCACTGTTTCTAGGGGCGCAAAGCCGATGTATCAACAACACGTATTCAACAGAAACACGTAAGGTTATGCATCAACTGTTTGATGGAAATATGGTCAGAGTGCAGCTAAGAATCTAACGTCGTATTTCCTCCATGCGCAACCGTTCAGGATTCATACAACCTTCTAGAAGACAACCACCATGAAGAGCAAGAATCAAATGTAGTGGTAACATGTAATGGAGAACCAAATTCCTTCCTTACAGCTGGACTAATAATCTCATCTTAACATCACCGGGTATTTGATGTGTGGTCAGAACTATGAATTAAAAGTAAATTGTGGTACAGATTTCACAAGTTAGAAATAAGAGGTTTGTTGTTTTAAGATTTGATCTAATAGATGTTTTTAAAATACCCTAAATTATTTTATCTTTCTATGTTTAACCAATAACAATAAACAAAACGCTTGGCTTCAGAAAAACTACTTACTGAAACCTGTAGCCCAATTAAGAAACAGCGTCTTCTCCTGGCTTAACAGGGTAACGATAAATGACACCAAGTCTTTTTATTTGCTTGATCTAAGCTATCATTTAGTCCTAAGTAGCCACTTTTAAGAAAAAAAACTTCTTTATATGAAATGAAAGTGGGAAAAATGTGCCAAATGAGGAATGGATTCAAGACATTTTGAAGCAATATCCCAAATATAAAAACAAGACAACAGTTCTATAGATAGCAATTAAAAAAAAAAAAAAAAAGCCTAGAAGATTTGTCTAAACAAAAGTTTCAAAATATATGAAAGAAAAATGAGTGTTACACCACTGGTAAAATTAAATCTTAAAAATTAACTCATGGAAGTAATTACATTAATGAACCCTATGTACAATATACATGAATTTGTTACTGGTGAAATTCTGAGCATGTTAAAATTTCTTGTTCATCTCTTTAAAAAAAGAAGCCATCTACCTATAGGTTTTCAAGTATCATCTAATTAATAAAAGCCATCTGTCTATTCACTTGAAGTTACTATACAAACCTTTGTTAGCATTATGAAAAATAAAGACAGAAATAAAAGCAGTCTTATCCTCTACATAAAAACATACAATGGATTATCTACGGTTCAGACAGAGTCCAAATCAACAACACACAACACTTCTGACCTCCTCGGTTTTAGTTTCTCCATTTTCTGCAGGTAAGTCTTCTTTTGTTTCCTGGTTAGCCACTTCGGCCTGTTTTCCCTTTGCTCCCCTTTTCCCCTTTGTTTGTACTTTTTTGTCTGAAGATTTATCCTAGGATACAATAAGAGTTATGTTTTAAGTATAAACTTGGCACTGACATTTTCTCGGTCTCTACAGGGCTAGTATCCCCAACAGTTACAACGTCAGTCCTCTGTCACACATCAGCCTGAGATCCAAAGACACATCGTTTACAGAAGACACTGTAAGGCCAGTACCCCTCGTCAGGACAAGATTGCGTGCTAAGAGCTGTGATAGTACGGGCGTTAGACTTCCGTTCCCTAAACCTGAAGCTGACCTGCACCACTCCTCCGCCTTCACTATAGCCAGCCACTATTCTCTTAAGAGTTCCATATGACCAAACAAAGGGGGGAATCTCTTTCCACTGTAACCCTAACCATCCCCAAAGTTCTTTTAAGCCTGAATAGTAATTAAATTGTCACATATCCACTGTCCTGACAAGGTGTGCACCCTCACAGTAAGACCATTCACCTGAAAACAGCACCATGTTGTGTGGTCAGGTTGACTATCCTGCTACAGCTAATCCCTTGACATCATACAATGAGTAGCTAAAAGGATCAATTTTGAGTTTATCGTTTTCATTTAGATGTTTGAAGAATTTGAAAAACACAGGTATTAGTATGATGACAAAAGAGGTTCAAAATGTAAGCCGCTTTCAATATTAAGCACTGTTTTTGGATACCCTCCATCAACGGGGAAAAAGAAGTTTAAATCTTGACATCTATTCCCTGTAAACGAAGAATGAAGCAAGAGCTAAATTAAGTTAGGTCACCAGGGAGTTATATAAAAGACCCCAGCAGTACTGACCAATACTTGAGTTAAACAGTCACAAAGACATGCAGCTAGATCAAACAAGTTCAATGCTAAGATGGAGGGAAAACCAGTGTAATGTATTCTAAACCAATGATGGCATCCCATATATAAAGATAGCATAACAGCCACTAATAATACACTTATGAGGAGTGCCTGAGTGTCTTAGATAAGTGTCTGACTTCAGCTCATGATCTTGCAGTTTATGAGTTCGAGGCCTGCACTGGGCTCTGCATGCACAGTGCAGAGCCTGCTTGAGATTCTGCCTCCCTCGCCCTCTCTAAGTAAGTAAATAAACTTTAAAGACTCAGTTCCCTTGTTAGGTGTCAACATTCATGTAAAGGAAAAATAATTAAAGATTTTTTAAAAATTAAAAAACTATAATGAAAACATACTTAGGACAGCAGTGCTCATATACGGGTACCGTAAAGTGTCATGATGACTTCTGTACTTAAAGAACCATTCTTCTGTAATCTGAGGTTTTTAGATTTTGTAATTTTGTAAGCACTCATTAATTTTGTAAGCACTATGGCACTAACATAAAAATGTAAAAAGTTTAGAAGTGAAAATAAAATACACAACAATAACCTGGACTGAATACCACTTTTAATTCCCTATAGTAAGACAGATGAAACAAAATAAATCCATGTTTTCCTAACTTGTGTTTCAACCCTCAAAATAATTGAGGATTTCACTCAAGTCGTAGGCACATAGTGGCAGACGCAAACTCTGCAAACAGGGTGCTGGGGTGGCTGGGTGCCTCAGTTGGTTAAATGTCTGACTTCATTCAGCTCAGGTCATGATCTCGAAGTTTGTTGAGTTCAAGCCTCATGTCGAGCTCTGTACTGACAGCTCAGAGCCTGGATTCTTGTCTCCCTTTCTCTCTGCCCCTCCCCCACTCACATTCTTGTCTCTCTCTCAAAAATAAATAAAAACAGAAGTACGCCTACACTGTAATCGACACATCAAAATATTTACCTTCTGGTAAGGCTTTATATCAGATTAGCTCTGCAAAACGTATTATAGAAACTGAATGAACGCATTATAGAAACTGAAGTAAAACTAAGCCCTCCACCGCAGTTTTCCTTTGGCAACACGGAACTGACAAATTGTTCCTCAAGGAAGACTTACATGTTGGCCTCTCATTGAGAGAAAAAAGGTGATTACACCTGATGTCCCAAACCCAACTGAGGGGAAAAACATGAACGTCTCCATCAAAAATAAGTAAAATGTGTAGAGTAAATCGAAATACAGGATAAGGAAAGGAAGAAAAACCCAAGAGGAAAACATTCATACTACCCAGCCAATTGGTTTATTTAAAATACACAAAAGAACCAAAGATGGGCAGTAACAGTACACAGCCCCTTTCACCATCATGCAACAAAATCTTTTTTTTTTTTTTGCATACACGTGAAGTTCTTGGGCTACTCTAACTTTTTATACAAAGATGTGCTGCTTTATCTTCTGGTGTGAAATATACTAAGTACTATGCATACACCTTCCTGAAATACTTAAAAAAAAAAAACTTTCTATTGCAAAAGTTAGCATTTTTCTCAGTTCTGCACAACGTTTAAACAACAAAATGGAAGCAAAACCTTTGTGCAATGTTTAGCTTCCGTGTATACTCTCAGAAAAGGGGTCTAACCCCAAACTCTCACTTAAGTTTTGAGTGAGCAGAAAGGAATCACACCACGAACTCCCCCCGACCCCCACCCCAGGACCCTGACAATTCGGCAGAGGGCCTCTTAGATGCTCCCCCCACCCCGCCCCGAATCTGAGTTTGCATGTATTTGGCTCTCCAGACTTCAATTTTCGAGCACGCACACAGTCAAGAACAACTTCACTCGGAAGACCTTCAGTGTGAACAACCCGATCGTGAACCTACTCCACGGAAACTATAACGCTGTCTAGAACTAACTCGAGAGTTTCTCGGGGAAAACGACGTAGTGTACACACAGCTGCCCCCGACCCCCTCCAGCCCACAGCCAAACACACCCCGTGAGCCCTACGCACACGATCCCCCGCACCGGGGCTTGAGGACTTCGCACACAGAACCCTGGCGCCCCCTTCTCCAGGTCGCGCTTCCGGCTCCGAGGCCGCCGGCCCACGGGCACGCACAGGCGCGCATCCACCGGGCAGCGCGCAAAACCGAGCCCCTGCGGGAGCCAAACTACGAGCACTTCCACTCATCCTGAGCCCTGGATGCTGAGCACAGCGAACGTTACGCCCCCCGGAACCGGTAGGACCGGATCCATCGCCGCTTACCCAGGCCCGGAGGGGGGCGGGGGGGCGCGGAATTGGTCGCTGCTATTAATTACAAAACTTAAATAAGAAAATAGGCCATTTCCACTCTGCATGCAAGTATGAGACCCGACCATGCTGAGGCTTTCAAAGTCAAGATCTCGGTCACTAACAATGTCCCATGACCTCAGAGTCGCCGCCGGGGGCTTTTTATTAACAGGGGGTCACGCGTCCAGGTGCGCGGCGGCGTTCCGAGCACACCGCGGGGGCCCTCACTTTGAAACCTACCTTTCCCGCCGCCTTTTTGGGCTTCGCTTCCACTTTCGCAGGAGCGGGTTTCTGAAAGGCAAAGGCAGCACTGAGTGTCTCCGCCGGGCACGACCCCGCGGGAGAGACACGCGTACGGGGCTCGCGGTACTTACAGCTGACAACCTCGCCGACCGCCTCTTGGGCTTTGGGAGAGAAAAGGAAAAGGGGGAAGGAGTGAGCGGGGCGGCGCGCCCGGGCCCCACCCCCGGCCCCGCCGCGGGCGCTTACCTCCTCCTTCGCCGCCCCCTCGGCGGAGCTGACCTGCGGAAGGAAGCACACGGCCGAGTGGGCGCAGCCCGCAAACAAAAGTGCCCGCGCGCCCCGCGCCCGCCCGCGAGAACAATGCCCGCTCGCGTGACGTCAGCGGCTTCCCGCCGCCGCGTTCGAATCTCCCACCCGGCTCTTCGGCCGCCGAACGTTCCAGAACATTGAGCCCGGGAGGCGGCCGTCGCCGCCGCCGCGGCGCGCGCGCGCGCCCCGCTCGCTAGCCCGCCCGCCACGGGCGCCGGGCCGCCTGCCGGGCCCTGCGCCGCCGCGGGCGAGGCGGGACCTGGTCGTCGCGGGGCGCCGCGGCGGGCCGGGCGGCGGAGGGCGCGCGTGCGGGACGCCGCTCACCTTCCTCTTGGGCATCGTGGCGGCGGGGCGGGCGCGTGCCGGGTGCCTGCGGGCCGCCGCGCGCCGAGAGCCTTCGCGAAGCTGGGCTGCCTGGCCGCTGCCGCTCCTCCCGCCGCCCGAGCTGCTGCGACCCGCGGCGGGGGCGGTGGGAGAACCGGATGGAACCGGATTGGGAGCCCGCCCCCTCCTCCCCCCGCGTCCCCCGGCCGCGGGCTCCCCCTCCCCGCCGGCCGGGCCGCCCCCCGCCCCCGCCCATTGGCTGTGAGGCCCACCGCGCCGCGGCCCGCGCCCGGAATAGGTGAGGCGGGCCGTCACTCGACCACTGCGCCCCGCCCCCGCTCCCGGCGCCCCCACCCCCGCCCGCCGTCTCGCGGGGCCCCAGACCCTGGCGGGGGGGGCGGGGCCCCAGAGGCCGCTCTCACCTCACGGTAGTTTGTTTGAAGCCGAGCCGCAAAGTGCGGTCTGCGCGCGGATTGGCGGAGCCCCGCCACGTGATCGCCGGTGACCCCACCCACAACCTCCCTGGTTACCTGGGCTCTCCCGGCGCCTAGAGAGCCTCAGGCACTGGGTCCGTCCCTTCTAGGGAGAATTGAGATGGGACATTTATAGTCAGTCTAGTAGACTGGGAGGGGAGAGACGATGGACTTAAGTACGAGCCAATTTCTCCCTCCTCGGTCAGCAAGAAGGGTATTCCGTGGGCCCCACTTCCACAGGCCTTCGGAAAGCGCGTCCCAGTGCGCAGGCGCCGGAGGGGAGGTCGTGGGAAGGAACGCCAGCGCGCGGGCTCAGCTCCCCAGGCCATTGCGCAGGCGCGGGCCTTGGCGACGTCCCTGGGCTTGCGGCTGCCGAAGGCCGGCCTCTTCTGCTCGGTTCCCTGGGATCAGCTCTTCCTGTGTTGCTTTCTTTAGATCATCTCTTCCTAGAGGGGCCGGGGCCTCCACCGTCCCCAGGACGTGCCCTCCCTCTCGCAGACTCCTGGACCGGCCAATCCCTCTTTCCCTGAAGTGAAGCGGAAAGCACGCCCCCCGCCCCTCCACCCCCATTTTTAACCAGTTGCTCACCTAAGCACCTTTTTTTTAATGTTTTATTTATTTCTAGGAGAGAGAGAGAGAGACGGCGTGAGCAGGGGAGGGTCAGAGAGAGAGGGAGTCACAGACTCCGAAACAGGCTCCAGGCTCTGAGCTGGCAGTCAGCACAGAGCCCGACGCGGGGCTCGAACCCACGAACCGCGAGATCATGACCTAAGCGAAAGTCGGACGCTTAACCGACTAAGCCACCCAGGCGCCATAAAAATTACATTTAGAAGGACGGATTGAGTGACGTTACAAGTTTTTAGTCAAAATTGTCAGCCGGAATTCTTGGAAAGAAAGAAATGTTGGAGTACTGTCCCTCCAAAAGATAGGAAACAGATCGAATGTTCTTCATTTGAGGGGCCTGGTTAAACTATGGCACCTTCACGTGATCAATAGTGAGTTACAACAAAGAAGAATGACCCAGCTCTTTATAGAGGAAGTGAATTTTGCAAACCACTAGTCCGACCACGTACCTCCTGATTTCAATGACTACCGCCTTCCCTTCTCCTTCAAGAACGTCTGAGTCCTAGAGTGGCTTATAAAGTCCCCTGCAATTTGGCCCAGTTCAGTGATTTTCACAGATGCTCCTTCTGTTTCATCTTCTTCTCAAACAGGCCGGGCACCCCCTGCCTCAGGGCCTCGCCACCCTGCCGTTCTCTCTGCCTGGAATGCAAGGCCTCAGACCGGTGTGGCTCTCTTCCCAATTCGGGTCTTGGAGCAGATTATATCCTCTCAATTAGGGCCTGTCCTGACCTTTCCGTTTAAAATTGCAACTCCCCATCTCTGTGCTCTGCATTATTTTTCTACACGGTGTCTATTGAGTATATAACAATGTTGGATATAAAGCTATACGTTCGTTATGCAGCTCAGGAAGAATTCTCTAGAAAACGGTGCCAAGAATTGCCTCTGTGGAGAACAACTAGCAGCAAGGTGAGATTAAAATTTATCCTTTTCTCTTTATTTCCCAGTTCCCATCTGCATTACAAAAACAAAACAAAACAAAAAAACATCGGGGAGCACCTGCGTTTGCGGCACAGACACGTTCAGAGCACCTGCAGTGTGCCAGGCATTATGTTAGGCTCTGGGTAGAGAGGACATGGAGGGTAAGGACTCTGGGTATAGTTTAAAGGAGAGCAAGGCACCTAGATCGTTCTAGCAGGGGAAAGGGGAAGCCCCAGGCAGGGGACCAGCACAGTCCAGGATATGCAGACTTACTAGAATGGGATGGTCCTCCAGGCCTCCTAAGTGGCAGTGATGGACACATGGAGAAGGCAGGGACAATTAGAGAAAAGAGGCAAAAAAAAAAAAAAAAAAGGCAAACTGCAAAAAGCATTTGAGGCCAGAATGAGTTTGGCCATTATCCAAGGAGACACTGCAAGGTCTTTGGAAGGGAATGGTGGGCTGAGATCTCATGAACTTTCTCCCATGAGAATTAAAGATGCACTAGGCCAGAGGTGACAAACTGGTGGCCTACAGATGTTTTCTTTGGACCAGGTTGTTGTTGTTTTGTTGTTTAATTGGCCCAGATAAGAACGTGAAGGAACAAGAACTCAATAGGAACACCATTTGGCAGTATCTCTTAAAGGTAAGCAAGCACTCCGTGCCTCAGTAATTCCACTCCTAGAAATCCACCCAACAAAATTGCTTACATCCATTCACCAGAAGACATGACGTACGATATTCATAGGCCCAGCTGGTAGCAACCGAAATGGCCATCAGCAGGAGAGTGGAGGAATGGATGGAAGACTACAGCGAAGACCAAGAGTTACCTACAACCACACACAACAAGTCGGGGAATCTCACAGACACAATGTCAAAAGAGACATGCAGATCCCAAAGAATGCATACAGTGTGATTCCAGTTACACAACGTCCAGAGGGCAGGGAAGTGAATCTAGTCCATTAGGAGTCAGGAAGCTAGTTTCCAAGTAAGGGTGGAGTGAGGAGCCACTGACTGGAAGAGAGACACTGGTCATGTTCTGTTTTTTGGTCTGGATGTTGATTTCTTGATCTGGATGTCCTGTTGACTTTATGAATATTAATTGAGCTGTGCCCTTAGTATATATATTTCTGCATACATATCAACAAAAGTTTTAAAGATTTTTTTTAAAGGAACATGTCAAAATCAGATGCTTTCATGTACAGATTCAGCTCTCCACCTTCCCCTGGCCTCGTTTGTGTGTGCATTCCATGGGATGCACTTGACCTTGTAACTTGTAAAGAGGCACTGTGTCCGGTTTGCTAGGGTCCCAACCCTGCTGATTTTTCACACCCGTATTTCCTGCCTGGCCTCTGACGGTGTTTCTGTCCATGATGCCTATGAGTAAGACACCACTTTTTTTTTTTTTAATGTTTGTTTATTTTTGAGAGAGAGTGAGAGAGCATGAGCAGGGCAGGGGCAGAGACAGAGGGAGACACAGAATCAAAAGCAGGCTCTGAGCTGCCAGCGCAGAGCCCAATGCGGGGCTCAAACTCACGAACTGTGAAATCGTGACCTGAGCCAAAGTCGGACACTTAACCGACTGAGCCACCCAGGTGCCCCAGACACCACTTTTTATATGTCCATTTATTTTTGAAAGAAATATTTATGTGGTTCAACACACAAAGGGCTCAAATTTATTTCCAGAGAAGCCCCTGTTCTGCGCTTGTGCCGCTAGGTACCTAGTTCTCCCAGGGAGAAACCAATGCTGCTGCTGCTTGTGTATCCTTCTAGAAATATTTTGTGCATATACAGGCAGATGAATTCTATTCTTTCTGTCCCCCACACCTTGCTTTTCCACTCTGTTTGGCACCTTGCATTTTTCACTTAATGCAGTCTGTTTCCATTTAGCACTTATGAGTGTCTTCCTTCTTTTCATTACTGAATCATATCGTACTGTATGGATGTACCAAACATTTTCAAACTAATTCTCTGCTGACCTGACGTTCAAATAGTGCCCAGTCTTTCGATCCTTCAAGGGATGCTGCAGTGTATAACCATGTCTGGAAAGCTGGTCCCACTTGTTGCTAAACCTAAACACACACCCAACACAGGCACTGAAACTGGGCAGCGCTGGATCAAAAGTGGGAATCGGGCATCTCACTTCAGCTCGGGTCATGATCTCAAGGTTGGTGAGTTCAAGTCCCACATCAGGTGCGCTCGAGCCCCTTTTCAGGTGAACATGAGCCCCACTTTGAGTAAAACATGAACCCCTGGTGAGCCCTCCACCTCTCTCTGCCCCTTGCTCACTTGTGCCCCCTTTCTCTCAAAAAAAAAAAAAAGTGGGAATCTATGCTGAATGATCCAGAATGTCGGATAATCATATGAAAACACAAAATTTTAAAACATTCCTTGAAACCCTCAAGATCTTTGTATACAAGTGTCCTCTCCACTACTTCCCCCTGGGGTCCATGTGCCCCACTTCAGAAAATCATGCATTGATGCCTCCTGGAAGATGGTGCAGAGGTGATTGAGGAGTTCTAGAGAGGGGAATCGTGAGGCTACTCTAAGGCAGTACTGCTGGTGATAGGCAGGGTTCCGAGGAACGGAGTGGGTGAAATCAGTAACAGCAAGCAGGTTGCCTACGTGTCAGGCGTCCTAGGGAGATAGCAGCAAACACAAGAGCCAAGTGTCTGTCCTCACAAGGCTTTCATTCCAGAGGAAGTACAGTCAAGAAGTAAGCAAGATGCTTTCACATAGTGATGGTGCCTTGAAGGAAGAAAAAGTGTCGCAATATAGAACCTGGTAGAGGTTTGCCCAATGGGGCTACTGTAGACAGGACAGTCAGACAGGGGCCTCTCAGGGGGCAAGTGAAGGGTAAGATGTCCTGGGCCTTTGGCGGCTCTGAAGGAGAAGGCTTCTGGACAGAGGAGGCCGCTAGTAGATCTGGACAAAGATCGACCTTGGGGTATTTGAAGAAGGGAAACATGGTTAGAGAAAAAGGCAGTGGCCAGGAAGTGCAAGGCAGTGAGGATGCGATGACAGGCTGTAATGGGGAATTGATGTCATTGGTCTGGACTCCAAGTAGAGGTGCGGTCGGACTGAGAGGTATCATGTCAAGTCAGGCTGCTGTTGCAAGAAGGCCTAGCAGATGAGATATTATGAAGGAGTCGAGCCAACGAATGTTGCCTGTGGGGAAGATCGGTGGAAGGAAGGATTTGGGATATATTTTGGTGGGGGGAACTGACAGGGTTCTTCACTAAACTGGGTGCGAAGGAGAGGAGAGAGACTTTTGGCTATGTGTAATAGAAACCCAAATTAGCATAAGAATAAAGAAATGGAAGATCTTCTACTGTAGAATGTTCTGGACTGGTGGATTCAGCAGCTTAATGTGTTATCACAGTCCCAGGTTCTTTTCTCCTATTTGTTGTGCCTCTTTCCAAATTGGCTTCATTTTCAGTTGACAGTGGAAATCCACGCGTCACATCCAGATTTATGACATCTAGAAAAAGAAGGCTCCTTCCCCAACCCCCCAGAATTCCTTACTCGATTGCCTTTACTTGTTGGCCAGAATTGGGTCACAGGCAAGGGGAATGGGACACCTCTAGAGCAAATCAGACCCGTCTTGGAATTGGGGGTAGGGCCAGGAGTGCAGGGAGTGGATACCTGAACAAAATCAGGGTTCTGTCAGGAATGACAAAGAGGGCAGTGGGCTGAGAGTCAGGTGGGTCCACTAGGCTGTATGGACGGGGGCCATTGCCCAGGTAGGGATGAAAGAAGAGGTGTGCAGGGGTGTGGAGGGGTCATGTGGGGATTGTAAAGTGCCCACTACCTCGACCATTAGGATGTCACCGATTGTCCTGATGGAGGAGTTTCAGTGAGAGGTAAGGCAGAAACTAGACTGAAGTAGAAAGTAGAGGGGAGGGGAGGAGCTCAAACAGCTCCGCCACCCGCTGTGTCATCCTGGATTGTAGTGTGTCTCTGGAAGCCCAGTCTCTGGGCCAGTGTGTCCAGGGAGTGAAGACCCATAAACTGGGGTAGGAATGAGACAAGCCTGTGAGGAAGAGAAGGTGAGGGAGATGATGGTGGGAACACTGAATGCCTGCTGTTCACCACCCTATTGGAATCCAATCTGCGGCGGAAGGGTGAGATGCAAGGGTTGCAAAGAAGAGCAAAAATCTAAGGGCCCCTATAGAGCTTTTGATGATCACCATGCTGATGAATTGCCCAGAAAGGCCAGAACAGAGAGAACCCTAAGATGACAGGTAGTTGTAGAAGTCACCAGAAGGTTGTGTTTCTAGCCTGTTTGCAAACTTGATGGATTCATGACTAGTCAATTGTTCTTAGATAATCGGAATTATTGTTATTACAAGTTTTCCTGTTTGGCAGTCCATCGTACTGATTGTTATTTTATTTTACTTATTTTATTTTATTCATTTCATTTCATTCATTTTTATGGTACCTGGGCACATGCCCTTTCTTACTCTTTTGTTGTTGTTGTTATCTATTTATCTGTTTAGTTTTAAATTTTACTTAAATCCAAGTTAGTTAGCATATATTGTAATAATGGTTTAAGGAGTAGAAGTCAGTGATTCTTCGTGTACGTAAAACACCCAGGGATTATCCCAACAAGTGCCCTCCTTAATGCCTATCACCCATTTAGCCCATTCTTCCATTCAACTTCTCCCAGTCCAGCAACCCTCAGTTTGTTCTCTATATTTAAGAATGCCTTATGGTTTGCCTCCCTCTCTGTTTTTATCTTATTTTTACTTCCCTTCCCCTATGTTCATCTGTTGTGTTTCTCAAATTCCATAGATGAGTGAAATCATATGATATTTATGTTTCTCCGATGTATTTTGTTTAGCATAATACATTCTAGTTCCATCCATCTTGTTGCGAATGGCAAAATTTCATTCTTTTTGATTGCTGAATAATATTCCATTGTGTGTATATATATATATATATATATACCACATCTTCTTCATTCATTTATCAATATGTGAACATTTGGGCTCTTGTGGTTGTTATTTTAGACAGAACAGTAAGCCAGCTATAAATTGGTCGTTATTCTTTTCTGCTCACAAGTGAAACTTGGCCTTTCTAAATATGGAAAGGAAGCATCTTAGTCTGTTCTGGCCGCTTTATTTTTTTATTTCTTTTTTTTAATATATATTTTTATTTATTTCTAGGAGAGAGAGAGAGAGAGACAGCGTGAGCAGAAGAGGGTCAGAGAGAGAGGGAGATACAGACTCTGAAATAGGCTCCAGGCTCCGAGCTGGCAGTCAGCACAGAGCCCGACGCGGGGCTCGAACCCACGAACCGTGAGATCATGACCTAAGCGAAAGTCGGACGCTTAACCGACTAAGCCACCCAGGCGCCCCATTATTTTTTTATTTCTGAGAGAGAGAGAGAGAGAACGAACAGGGGAGTATCAGAGAGAGAAGGAAATACAGAATCTGAAACAGGCTCCAGGTTCTGAGCTAGCTGTCAGCACAGAGCTGACGCGGGGCTTGAACCCACGAACCGTGAGATCATGACCTGAGCCAAAGTCGGACGCTTAACCAACTGAGCCACCCAGGCACCCCTGTTCTGGCTGCTTTAACAAAATGCCATAGATTAGGTGACTTATAAACAACAGACATTTACTTCTCACAGTTGCGGAGGCTCTGAAGTCCAAGATCAAGTGCTGGCTGTTTCGATATGTGATGGAAACCTGCTTCCTGGTTCAGAGATGGCTGTCTTCTGGCTGTGTCCTCAACTTGGAAGAAAGGAGAAAACAACCCTCTGGGGTTTCTTTACAAGGGCACTGATCCCATTCATAAGGGCTCCGCCCCCATGACCTAGTCACCTCCCAAGGCACCACCTCCAAATGCCATCCTAATGGGGATTAGGTTTCAATATTTGAATTTGGGGGGAACACATTCAGTTCAGGAACATTTCCTGTATCTCTTTCAGATCATTCAGCTTCTGTGGCCTCCAAAGGGAATCACCCCCTCAAATGGGCAGCCACTTCTTACTGAGACTTGAGCAGAAATATTCTGCCTCATTGTTAAGAGACACTTGTTCAACCTGACTCAAGATCACACAAAAGAGTTCAAGGTTTCCCTGGCTTGTGTGAACTCTCAAAGCAGAGGCAGCGGTATGGATGTATTCAGCTGACATGGTTTGAGGGCTACCCCATTCATAGCCTACCGGACGGAGCTGTTTCCTTTGGTTAGACGGTGCCCCACATCTGTGGTTTGGGGTGTTGGCCAGAATAACAACTAAAAGTAGAAAAAAAAATTCTCTTAATGCTACCTTTACATTTTTCAAATACATTTGACTCTTGAACAACATGGGTTTGAACTGTACAGGTCCACTTATATGCAGTTTTTTTATATTTACAGTAAAGCACTGTAATGTATTTTCCTTATAATTTAAAACAGTTTTTAATGTTTATTATTTATTTTTGAGAGAGACAGACAGAGTGTGGGTGGGGGAGGGGCAGAGAGAGAGGAACACATAGACTCCAAAGTGGACTCCAGGCTCTGAGCTGTCAGCACAGAGCCTGATGCGGGGCTTGAACCCACGAACCGTGAGATCATGACCTGAGCCGAAGTCGGATGCTTAGCCGACTGAGACACCCAGGTGCCCCATTAAGTTAAATCTTTTTATTTCTTTTTTAAAAATTGTTTTTAATAGTTTTTATTTATTTTTGCGACACAGAGAGAGCATGAGCGGGGGAGGGGCAGAGAGAATGGAAGTCACAGAATCTGAAAACAGGCTCCAGGCTCTGCGCTGCCAGCACAGAACCTTATGCAGGGCTTGAACCCATGAATTGCGAGATCATGACCTGAGCCGAAGTCAGAGGCTTAACCGACTGAGCCACCCAGGTGCCCCGTTAAGTTAAGTCTTTTTAAATGGGAAGGGAGATTCTCTCGGATTATCCATCTGGATCCACTTCACTGAATGAAGAGGGACAGAGGAGTGTCACAGAAGATGTCGCAATGGAAGCAGAGGTTGGAGTGGTGTGATTGTTGGCTTAACTTGAACCAGATATAGACTGATTGATACTGAGATGTCCTGGCGTCTACACTTTCTTTCCATTTGTTAGTAGCATGATTTAGCTTTAGGTGTTAGTGTTCTTTTTGAGAGCTGTCAAAATGAAGCAAGAGGAGAGATCCGAGTTGTTGAAATTGCGTTGTCTCTGAAGGCCACGTACGGCTGGTCCTCTCCACCATGGCTGCAGTCAAGGGCATTCTTCAGTAATTTTTTTTTTTTTTTGGTCACATTCTTGCCTTATCAGGACTTGGCAATCCTCCTTGTTGGGGGATGTGGTAGTGTAGTGGGGTATTATGGTTAGGGGTGGGGACTGTGATGCCTCCTCTTCTGTCTGAAAGGCAGACACTGGGGAGGGAGGCAGGGGGACAGAAGGAGCTGCTATCGCTTCAGGGGTTTCTCCCTCCTAATTCACTTGTCTCCCAATGAGTAGAGGAGCCAATAGGATTATCTAGGAGCTGTGGATGGTCCAGCTGGAGGGAAAAGAGGTGAGGCAAGGTCAACCCTGTCTTTTGGTTTGGTCAGGTCAGCCTCACCTACAAGCCAAGATGCCAGCCCATGGAAAGGTTTACTTGACCACTATCGAGTCGCTTCACTTCATGTTTTCTTTTTCTTATTATTATTTAAATGTTTATTTTTATTTTTGAGAGAGAGAGTGTGTGAGCAGGCGAGGAGCAGAGAGAGAGGGAGACAGAGGATCTGAAGTGGGCTCTGTGCTGATGGCAGCAAGCCTGATGTGAGGCTCCAACTCATGAACCGCGAGATCATGACCTGAGCCAGAGATGGACGCTCAACTGACTGGGCTACCCAGGTGCCCCAGCTTTACGTATTCTTGAAGCAGAAATGGGTAGTGATGAGAGAAAAACCCTCTGGAGGCCTGATACACAAAGGATCCCATTTTAGATTTCTTTCTATATCAACGGGACTGTACATAATCGTTGTTCAGACCCAGAGCCTGATTTATGGCCCATCGTCCATGCACCGTGTACCAGCTCTGTGAATGAGTGTCCAACATGAAAACCAACGTGAAAACAAATGTAAAAAAAAAAAAAAAAAAAGGAGTATATAACCCTATAAAAACTGTTCATTCTCTGGAATATTTCCTTCCCTGGGAAGAGTGTGTTTCCCGGGGAAGCTACCCTAGCTTGGGCTTAAATGAAACTCTTCTTTTCTCTTTAAAAAGCTTTGGGGCGCCTGGGTGGCTTAGTCGGTTAAGCGTCCGACTTTCGCTTAGGTCATGATCTCGCGGTTCGTGGGTTCAAGCCCCGCGTCGGGCTCTGTGCTGACTGCCAGCTCAGAGCCTGGAGCCTATTTCAGAGTCTGTGTCTCCCTCTCTCTCTGACCCTCCCCTTCTCACGCTGTCTCTCTCTCTCTCTCTCCTACAAATAAAAATATTAAAAAAAAAAGATTTTTAAAAAGTTTTGTTCATGGCAATACTTGGTGTAGCAGGCAGGATATCAGAGCAGCTAGCCTGAGAAACACCCGAGGGTCCCACCGGGCCGGTGCTTAGTATCCACAGAGGACCCTGTGTGCCCCTCTGGTGTCTCAGCACCTCACAGGTAGATCTGGTGAGCTCTCCTGATATCCAGACCTTCTCAATTTAAGTGACAGTACTGACTTTTATTCGAGCTATTGAGAGTTACCAGTAATATTCTCCAGAAGGGAATAATCTAGAGGGGTTGGCGCTATGGGTAAGTTGTTTTAATTTGGCATGATACTCATTGGTGTTGTTAATATAAGGCCTGAGTAAATTTGCTGGCTAGAAATATGAGAGACTGAATCACTCAGCTCCAAAGAGAAACGACACTTGCTCCTTCTGGCCTAAAGCCACTTTCAGGTGACTGAAAGCCTACCAGAAGTGTCTGAGGGTATTCCTCAAGATGTGTAGAGGTCCCATAGCAATTTCCATCTCATAAAATGATTAGCGATGGGCTCATCTGGGGATGCACACACAGGGATTGAGCCCCTCAATGGCCTCAGACCTCCCTGGGAGAAACCGCGACACAAAAGATTATATTACGGCTGTTTGGAAGTGACACTCACAAGCAGCACCCTTTTGGTCTGTCACACTCAGCATCCTTAGATTTTGTTCAAGGCTTATTCCAAAATGGAAACCAAAAGGAGTAGGGCATTGTGCTTTATAAGCCAAGCAGCTGGGGTGCCTGGGTGGCTCAGTCAGTTGAGCTTCTGACTCTTGATTTTTGGCTCAGGGTCATGATCTCATGGTTCGTAGGATTGAGCCCCCCATCAGGCTCTGTGCTGACAGTGCCCAGCTTGCTTGGGATTCTCTCTCTCTCCTGCTCTCTCTGCCCCTCCCCCCAATAAAAAAAAAAAAAAAAAAAAAAAAAAAAAAAAAAAGCCAAGCAGCTACCAGAAAACCAACAAGCATCCACAGGAACTCCGGCAGGCTATCTGTACAGCACACACAAAGCTCTACTCACAAGTGTTTACTTAGGTGGGAAAATTTAACTAGGGATAACCTGGGTCTCAGATGGTGTTCTTTTGAAAAGCCTAATTCGTTTTCTTTTTTCTTTTTTTATTTAAGGGACTCCTGGGTGGCTCAGTCGGTTGAGCATCCAACTCTTGATTTTGTCTCAGGTCATGATCCCAGGGTTGTGGGATCGGGCCCCCAGTCAGGCTTCATGCTCTCAGGGAGACTTCTAAAGATTTTCTCTTTCTCTCCCTCTGCTCCTTTCCCCAGCTTGTGCACTTGCTCTCTCTCTCTAAAAATAAAAATTAAAAACGAAATAAAAAGATTTTATTTTAAATAATCTCTACAACTAATGCAAGGCTTGAACTTACAACTCCATGAGCAAGAGTTGCATCTATCGACTGAACCAGCCAGTCACCCCTTAAATTAGTTTTCTTGTGTGCATAATTAGAGAGAGCTTGTTGCAAGACTAAGCAACCAGAAACTAGGAAACTATGTGGTTTAGTCGGTGAAGCGCTTGGCTTTGGGGAGGAACCGATATTCACAGAGGTATTCTGGGCCTCGTGCGGTTTATTTGTTACTGTAGCTTTTGGCACCTTTGGACAAAACCAGCTGTGTTATATTGAAAAATGAGAAACAACCAATTCACGGATCCATAAATTATAATGCTATTTTGTAATTAGGTTTATTTTAATAATAGGGAGATAGTTGGAAATCAGGCCTTTATTGTTCTCTCCACAAATATTAATGAAATGAAGGCTAGATTTTGTTGGCCTCTTATTTGTGTATATGTGTCCATGTGTGTTATAAAAAACCTCCGGGATGGTCTTGCTAAGATTAATTTGTAGAAGAGCTCTATTTAACTGGCTTAAAAGGCCAAGTGCTTATAAGAATGAATCGGGCATTCTGAAACACAGAAAAATGGAGACTAACGCAAATATTTTTCAAATTGATACTATCTGGAAAAATACTCAATATTAAAACTAAGTTTGTTGGTTTAATTAAAATAGACATGTCTTTAGGGTTATCTGCACTGGAGAATCTGGGTGGCTCAGTAGGTTAAGCTCCAACTTCAGCTCAGGTCATGATCTTACTGTTCATTTAAGCCCTGCTTTGGGCTCTGTGCTGACAGCTCAGAGCCTGGAGCCTGCTTGATTCTGCGTCTCCCTCTCTCTCTGCCTCTCCCTGGCTCACACTCTGTTTCCCTCTCTCTCTCAAAAATAAATAAAAACATTTTTAAAAAATTTTAAAAAATATTGTTCTATGAATTTTTATTAAATGTCAGATAAGCTTGTGTTATGTTTGATGCGTTTTGGCAGCAAAAAAAAAATGACTTAAAATGATGGTTGATTTTGTCTGTTTCATCAAGATTTCCCAGGTAACTGTCACAAGCAGTTAGCTTAAATAAATAAAAAGGTTTATAGCTTTCAAAATCTTTGGTAACCTGAGACTTTGAAGTTTTGCTAAGTTAAACAATAAATTGGGTTGAATTTATTGGATATCTAAGTCTTTGCCAAATAAGACAGAATACTAAAGCACTGATTACCGAATGTAGGTTTGTTTGCTTTTGTCTTCTTATCGCAGAGAAACTGGGGATACTTGGATCTGTTGGTAAACATGCTTTGTGTTTTATTGAAAGTTGTACTATTAAAAAAACATTTCCTAGAAATTATGAAATGTATTCATACATTTCCAATCTTGGGTATTCTAGTGTGACCATTCACGATTGGTTACTACTTCATTTTTACTAGAAATTAAGATTTCTAAGCATTAAGAATTCTGACAGATGTAATT